TGCCCCCGCCCCAGGCAGCGGGGGGAGAGGAAAAGCCACGGCCAGCACATCACTCGCCCGTGCCACTTCTCGCCGCCCCCCATTGGCCCGGGACGGCGAACCGCGGCCAGTGGGGGCCGCGATCGGCCGAACCTGCCGCGTCAGCAGGTAAATAAAACTGGCCCGGCCTGCCAGGGTGCTTACCCTGGCGAGCTGCGTGCCGAACGTTGACGACCCCTGGTTCACAGAATATACAATACCCTTTTATAGGCTGTAGAATTATCATTTAATTGGGCTACAAATGTAACCCCATTTTACATCAGTTCCAATAAATAATTTTCAACTATAGAATACATTTTCCATAATGCATTATATTCACATGGCAATGCATGACATTTCAATGTCTGGAAAGAGCTGTTTAATTGGAAGGATAATTTTTCATTGTGATTTTAAGGTAATGAGGCTGTTTCACACCTGCTGAAGGTGATCTGCACTAAAATAGTATGTATGGGAAAGATTGTAAAGGATTAAAGGCACATTGGAAACTAAGTCATCATTTGTAGAAGTGAATAGCTAGCTTTCATTAAGTGAATCCAAAACAAAACAAAAAAACCCCAATAAAATTAAAGTTAAAAATACTGAGTTCTCTGTTACCTTCAGTGATTTTGCCAGTTTCACATGGTTATCGTAAACTAGAATGTCTACAATCAGATTTCTCAGCTGATGGATGAGAACTTTATCTCCTTCAAGGTCACTTTCTTCCACAAGAACCTTCCAAGATGGGTGGGGACATTTTGTACCATCCCATACCTGCCGCGAAAAGAAATTATTTCATCAATCCCTTTTAATACTTTTAATGTGCAAAATAAAAGATTTTAAAAGTTGATTACTTTAGATTAAATTGTTACAAACATATGTAACTACTTACCTTCACGTGATTAAATATTTTGAGTCAAAATAGTTACTAAGGTTCCAGTCCTTTCCTCCTTAACTAAGAAAAACTCTCACTTGATTCAGCAGGAATTTTTCAAGTTTAAGTAGTGTGGATCATGGCCCCTGTATATGTTTTTTTTATGCTACACATTCGCTAATTTGGTATTCACTACTTTTTTTTCCCTCTCTAAACTTTGTCACTCTTTATGATGAACAAGCCCAGTCCCTCAAAAGGTAAATCCAACATCTTAGCCTGAACACCTTAAGAAAAGCCAGAGATTTAAAAACCAAGTAGTAGTGGGGGAGAGTGATGGGAAGTGCCACAAATCTGGCTGTGGTAAGTGACACAAAGACTGTTTGAGGGAATGTCTAGAGAGAATTTGGCCCTCTTGTTAACATGGATTGATTTTCTAGGATGCTTATCAGGTAGTTGGATTGGGAGAAGGAAAAAACTTCTCTCAGGTATAAAAATTGTACCTGGACCTACGAACCAAGCCCTGGACATTTTTTGGTGGATTATCTCATGGTGCTCAGTTGGAGGAGATGGACTCAGTGGTGTTTAGCTGGCCTTTCAAAGATTCCTCTCTGTCAATAGACCTTTTTGCTGCTGTGGAAGGCAGGCCAAAGGAGGAAAAGCCAGTACATGCTAGGAACTCTCTAAAAAGAGTTGTTTTCTCCCAGGGCTGAAGTATCTGGTATGGTGTTTCATTATGGACATTTTATTGTCATTTAATATATACCATTCAAATCTGGAATTTTTTATGTGGCTCCACATGGGGATAATTGGCAACAGAGCAAACAACGAGTTTAGGGCTTCGTAACAACAGAGACCTAAATTAAACACTAAACTATTAGCAGTTACTAGCTTCTTAAAACTACAGTTTAATCTATACCCTATGAAATAAAGTGGCAACGTTATTATCAAAGTAGACAATAATGATTGTAATCAAATAATGGTTCAGAAAGCTGCTGTTTACAGTGTAGGAAAGAAACTAAGGGTAGATAGGGCCATAACAATTAAATGTTGGATATACAAGGAGACACGCTCACAACCCCAATGGACACTGTTTTCTAGACAGTTCTCAATACATGGTGCCAAAGCATGTTTTCCCAAGAGTTAGGATCTGCAGAGGCAATTTGCAAAAGAAAGAAAAGACTTTTCCCTTTTTGTCTACTTCCTGTAGCTTAGACGGAAAGATATCTTCTGTTTGAAGGGCCCTCAAGAGAAGCATTTACAAGAAATACAAGTCATGTGCAAAAACGCTAGAGAAAACGTACGTGCTCAACCTGACAAAGCAGACAAAAGGAGAAAGCCATCCACCCTGAAGACCCAGAGCAGGAAAAGGAACTTACTGCCATGAATCCTAAGAAGTTCTAACTTCCACCAACAACTGCACCAGGGCATAATTGGAACCAATTTTGGATCCAACATCTTACCTGATTTGGAATATTGGTGCCTAAGTTATCTGAGCTATTAAAATGTTGCCAGTATTTTTGTACTTTAAAGAACCGGAATAAGGCACCAAGGATTTCCTTTACTGTTGGTCTCAGGAGTAGAGCTGATCAATTGACAGAAAAAGCAGCAGTGTGTGTGGATTTTGAAAATTTCCCCCTCATTTTTCAACTGGCTGTATTTGGAACAGCTACATAGTCCAACACTCAAAAAAGGGAATTGATAAACTCTGATCCAAAGAGCTGTTTCCCCCCTGTCAGATCTAAGGACAACTATTTAATTTAATTTTTGATAAGTCCTTAGCTCAGAGGTGGGCAAACTACAGCCTGCAGGCCGGATCCGGCCCCTCAGGGCTTTGGATCCTGCCCGCGCGATTGCCACCCCCATGGTGCAGTGGGCCCCGCGCTGCTCACAGAAGCAGCCGGCCCCACGTCACTGCAGCCCGTGGGAGAGAGGGGCAGAGGGCTGAGCGTGCTTCCCTTGCCTGTGGGTACCTCCCCCGAAGCTCCCATTGGCCGCAGGAGCCGGCCCCGGCCCCAGTGCGCACCGCTGCCACTCTGGAGCCGCTCCAGGTAAGCGGTGCCGGGTTGGAGCCCGCACCCCAAACCCCTCCTGTACCTTGCACCCCAACTCCCTGCCCTGAGCCCCCTGCCACACACTGCCTGCACCCCACAACCCTTCTGTCCTGAGCCCCCACCGCACCTTGCACCCCTCCCCCTGCCCTGAGCCCCCTGCTGCACCGTGCATCCCTCCTGCACCCCAATTCCCTGCCCTGAGCCCCCTGCCTGCATCCCAGCCCCCTGCAGCACCCCATGCCCCTCCTGCACCTCAACCCCCTGCCCTGAGCCCTCTGCTACACCTCACACCCCTCCTGCACCCTAACCCCCTGCCCTGAGCCCCCTCCTGCACTCTGAACCCTTCCTGCACCCCAGCCCCCTGCCCTGAGCCCCCTCGTACACCCTGCACTCCTCCTCTGCCCCAACCCCTTGTCCTGAGCCCCTTCCTGCACACCGCATTCTCTCCCACACCCAGCACTCCCTCCCACACCCCAACCCTCTGCCCCAGCCCTACATTCATGGCCCTGCATGCAATTTCCCCACCCAGAGGTGGCCCTCGGGCCAAAAAGTTTGCCCATCCCTGCCTTAGGAGGAGTAACCTGAAGGACCTATGGATTCCTTTTAAGGACATCCCTTTTCATACCCATTAGCCACTAAGGCCTCTTCCAAGAAAGACCTTTAATCTGTGGTTCCTTTTCTACTTTCATAGATGTGAGTGAAGCTCAAGATTCCTTCTTAAGCAGTTGAAACACTGGGAATCAGTAGATGGAACCAATATTTTGCTAGAACAAGAAGCCACTGACTCTTTTTCTTTAAAGACCTGTCCATTTCTCCATCCCTGGTACTGCAGGGACCAACTCCTGTTACACTATAAACCAAAAATTTGAACATTAGGCTATTTAAAAGGCTAAAAAGGCTATTTAGTAAGCTAACTAAATCAAACCTGTGCAGGAAATAGGAACTGGTTCCTTCACTGCTGATGGAACGACAGAAACTGAGGAACAGCCAGGGGTGAAGGCCTTTTATACTCATGGATACAAAATGTTGCAATAAGAAACAACCATGCACCCCTTAGTTGCTTTACAGCTTTGAATGGTTCACAAGTCAAGTCTTTATCTCCCCTTCTCCCAGTTGTTCTTTTGATTATATAAAACTGATACAAATGCAAGAGTCTATCAAACTTGAAATAAACAGAGAGCAATGAAAGATTAATAATTTAAGAAATTACTTGCCTGTGCCCTTACACAAGGATCTCTCAGCATGAATGTGTGCTCACTGAGGTAATGAACTATGAACATTTTACCTCCAGTTCATAAAGTGCTTAAATCATTTTATTAGTCCTTGTTTGACATCCATTTTACATGGGTTAGCTTGAATTAAAATGTTTGTAACAGCTGTAGGGCATGTTGCAGGATGTAGTTTAAATAACATTCTTCTGCAGGAGAACATCTATGCTGCTTTAATGAAGGAATAATGCACTATTTTCTGCCTATCTAAAAATACTAAAATATGGCTTCAGATAATTGTTTCTTGGTTTTACTATACATAAAAGCAGAAATACTCAGATGGAAAACATCAGACTGTCTCTTATTTCTTATCACTAAACTCATGGAGGGGTTTCAGGATAAAATCAGTCCACTGTCGCTGTTGCTAATTCAGGAAAATTACTCAGATAGATCCCTTTTCACTTAGCTGATGTTAAGTATTAAGTCCCATAAAGTGCTTTCAAGCAATGTGACACACTGTATTTTGTTTCTTTACTCAAGCACTGATCCTGTAAAGAACTTACACATAACTAATAAAGGCTAACTCAAATACCTCAAAAAGATAGCATACTCAATCCATCCATCCATATGCTACATAGTGCATTAAATTATATCCTGCATATGTTCTAATGAAACATAATACAGAGAAGTATACATAAAAGAAGTCTTATTTAATTAGCAACAATGTAAAAACTTAAAACAGACAATATCATTTTTTCAGCATTAAGAAATTCTGTAATTCCTAACTACAAATGCTTGTGAAATCATATTCTGAACACATACCTTGTCAAACCAATATTTGTGAATAATTCTAGAGCAATAGGTGAACTGAATGTCTTTAAAGACAAATGAAAGTATGAATTTGTATGAAAGTGAATTGGTTGAGGATCATATATTTACTAAAATAACCCTTAAATGTCAAAGGCTGCTATATAACATTATTTAAATATAAGATAAAGTGAGTTCATGAAAATCCTGAAACATAAAGCCTGGAAATAAGAATCTAATAGTCAATCTGTAACAACTATTTAAATTATTTAAATTGTTTAAAAATCCACCTTGAGAAGAAAGGAAGATCCATCCACTTCTGCTTTCCCTACAAGTTGACAAGTAAGGTCAAAAAACAGCATTGGCTGGACATCAGACAATTTTGCTGTTGGCCCACAGACTGAAAGATTACTAGCTGCCCACGTACGTAGTTCTTCTATTGTTTTCTGTTCTTCTTCTGTGAAAGAGTACGATTTACTAGAGGTTCGAGGCACTATCGGTGCTCCTACGGTTCCATCAAATGTCAAGGATGCAAAGCCAATACCAGTAATCCCCTGCATCTGTTTATTATATTCCCTGATCTACAACACAAAAACAGGAAGAAAAAAATATTGACTACAGAGCATAAAATGTATAAAAATGCTGTAAAATGATCAGTACACGGTTCTTAGTGCCTTGTTTTCAGGGCATTTAAATACTCTAGCAATTTAGAAAATAGCACAAACCCAAAAGGATATGTACTATAAAATTGTTCTAAACAGCAGGAGATTTAATCAAGAATTTGCCAAAATTTCCAGAGCATAATTTGTAACATAAGTAAACAAATAAATAAACTTTTGAATTCGTAAGCAAAGCCCTAAAGAGGGCTTGATATCAGGAAGTCCTTTAATCCTTGCTACTTTGGCATAAATGCCTTAAGGATCATTTCTAGGACAAAATCCAACCTTACATACACTTATATATTCTCTAGACCTGGCAGATAAGTAAGCAACATCTCAGGAGGTAGTTTTTCCTAAAGATAATGTTGTAAATTTTAATCTGTTGACCTTTAGCTAAAATCAACCAAAAAAAAAATACAGAAGAACAAAAGATATAAATCTGGAATGTATACATTTTTCATAATTCTTTTGAAGTGAATCAACTCTGTCTCCTAACTCCTACTTTTTTTTGCATTGAAGTAAGCTTCTATTATAAATAGCATGAACCCATGATGAATGAATAGCCTTTAGCTCTGCTGCAGATATTGGCAATATATTCTATACTTGCACAAAACTATGCAGCACTGAGGGAAAAAGAAAGCCTTCTTTCTTCAGTTTTATTCATTTATCTATGATCAAAAAGATTTCAGCTATATCATCAAATATTTTATGTGGCATTTCAAATGAGTCTCACTCACAGACGTTTTGTGTTTATTTCCCATTTATTTGTTCAATAATTTATCAAGTACCCATTGCCATAGTATCTCGGCAACTTATAGACTGAAAACTCACCACTAGACCTAACAGAGAGAAGTTTATGAAGCTCAGCTTCTTATGTAAGTAAGACAGGAAACTATACTGGCTCATGTGGAATCCTTTGAGCTTTCATCTATCCCTTCAATTTAGACTATTTTCGCCAACTATAGCCTTGATTTCATGCTCCTTTCTATGGGCTCTTTGTGTGTGCCATGCTCCTACGGTCTCTATGAGTAACCTTATGGGCTTATTATGGCCATCAGGAAGTTTAGACTTGAAATTAGATGAAGGTTTCTAACCATCAGAGGAGTGAAGTTCTGGATCAGCCTTCCAAGGGGAGCAGTGAGGGCAAAGTTCTCAAACCATGGTAAGCAATGATACACTATAAAAGAGCTATGTAATTAGCACTTAAACTAATTTTAAATTTAATTAAATGTAGATAAAGCTAACCTGTGAATTTAGTAAAAGATGACAACCTTTTCCTACAAGAAATGCTTTTTATTATTCCTGGAATCTTGGCTGGCGGCAAGAGAGACTCTCTCTGGTATAAATAATTATCACTATAGCAAAATGTCTAGTGGGGAAAAAAAATACAACGAAACAGATGATGTGGACCTTGCTTGCAATGAGTAAGCAACTACCTTCACTTACGGTTTAAGGGAGTTTCTGGACAAGTAATTTTAAACCTGAAGAACTGAATGTGAAATCCTAACCCCACTGAAGTCAAAAGCAAATTCCCACTGACTTCAATAGGACAGGATTTCACCTGGAATATATTTGCACAAGAGCTGCTAATCTCCGATGCTACATGAATAGACTTTAAAAAGCCAAATATATCTGGATTCAAAAAAACATTATCTACCTAGTTCAACAGAAGGGAAAGTGTGATCATAAATTGAATATTAGACTGGATAATAGCATCTGTGAGGTAATTTTCCATCAAAACTGATTTGTTAAATTATAAAGGCAAGAGCAATGTAAGAGACTATTACAAAACTACTGCTGTCATAGATCATCAAAATGCCTCACAAAGACAACATAAAGCTAATCTATAACTGCTACAGTAAGAAGAATCTAAACTAAATCTGAAAATTGATTTCCAGCTGGATTAGGAATTGAAGACAGCCTTTTCAAACCTGGATGTCACAAGTTCAAAGGCTTGATCATAATTTACATATTTCACAAAGAATGTCTGGTAATTTCAAGACAAAGGGTTTGTTTGTTTCTTAAATAGAACAATATTTCACTGTGGATAGAGTAGTCTCTGATAAATTCCTTCTTAAACTGAAACCAGGCAAAGAATATACTGCATGTTGCTTATAAGGTATTGGCAAAACAGTAAAGTTATTATTATACGCAACTTAGTTAACTTTTACTATTCTAAATTTGCCAGGTGACTGAACCTTGACCAGCTCAATCAGATTCTCAGATTATTCCTGAGATAGAGGATTGATGCCTGTGACAGCTGCTTTTATGAAAACATTTTCCTTCCCAAAATGATGTCTTCTGGAACATTACCTTATATTTTGTAAATGTTTTGTCACATTCCTTTAAGTGTACTAATCCACAATTTAAACTGGTTTCGATAATATGGTATCCTGTTTATATTCTCTCTCTTATATTTGGGTTTTAATATTTTAATTCCTTTATCCTAATAAATGCATAATAACTGAGGCCATATAAGAAGGCAGGCAGTAATTGAAGAGAGAAGTAATGTATAATATTTCAGTAAATATGTTGTTTCCCCAACATTAATTCAATCTTTGTGCATATATTTAAACAGAATACTAACAAAAATAAATTACTAAAAGCAGATGTAGAAACCCTCATTCTTAGGAATGATTTGAAGAGAATGTTCACCAGCTTCTAAAATAGGACACATTTAAAAAGACACAATTTGGACACTATGCTGTGCAAGCTTTTCCATGAAGTTCTGCCAATTCGCTTATTTATCAAGTAGCCAACACCAACTATTGTGCAGGAATTGCTGATCTGGGTGGATAGTTTCAAGCTTGTGATAGTGTGTATTTGTTTAAAAAGTGTAAAAACACTAAATAGTATTTGCATCTAAGGCAAATGCATTACACCACTATGGCACTGAGCCTCCTTCATGGTTATGTGCTATAAATGTGGTGGCCTCAGTCCAGATCCTAGTGGACAGATGTCCACAGCAGGGCCAGCTTTAGGCACCAGCATCCCAAACATGTGCGTGGGGCGGCACTTTTCAAGGGGCGGCACTCTGGCCCCCCACCCTTTTTTTTTTTTTGCTTCGGTGGCGGCACTCTGGCATATTTTTTTTTTTTGCTTGGGGTGGCAAAAAATCTGGAGCCAGCCCTGGTCCACACCAAACACACAAAAAGTCACAAACAGTGCCATCATGATTGTTGGCATCTTTATTGTCAGTCTCAGTAGAGGATCAAGGATGAAAAAAGCATTGACAGTAAACTACTCTTAACTTCTGAGATGGTCCCACCAAGTTAGGATAGGGTAACATGGAGAACTGTTGTACTGGATCAAACCTATGGTCTGTCTTGTCCAGTATTCTGTCTCAGAGAGTAGCCAGTTCTCCATGAGGAAGGTTAAGGAAAGATGGAGTAGGTGGATCTGGGATAATCAGCCCCCTCCATGAAGGTCTCATGCTAATCCTAAATACACCTCTACCCCAATATAACACTGTCCTCGGGAGCCAAAAAATCTTACCGCGTTATAGGTGAAACTGCGTTATATCGAACTTGCTTTGCTCCGCCGCAGTCTCTCTCCCCCCAATTCCAAAAAGCCCAACGCTTTTTCTTTTGTTTTAAAATCAAGGATAAAAAAAAGTATTGTGGATGAACTATGCTTTAATTCATTTGCCTGTTTGAATGCTGTGGTGGTGAAGAACCACCTATCATTACGGTTATATAGCTACTTTCAATACAATTCAGATATTGCATGTAACCTTTCAAACAATATCACTAGCTGAAATAAAATACATTACTCTTCTATTAGGAAGTACTCCTGTTGACTCTTCAAATTTCTAAACATACTGCCATCTTTGCTTCAGATCTAAAGCTGAGATTAAGATCTTTTTCAGAAGAAAAATCTTTTTAACTTGTACTGGATTCTTAGCTTAAAATTTAGGTTGGAATTCAGGAGCAGGAGAAATACTGCAGATGTGAACAACAGATGGCAAAATGCTGTGTGTGTGTTTAAAAAGTGTCAACATTTTAAAATATTCTGGGATATCATATAGAAACAACTGAATTATTTTACAGATATTCCTTCAGAAGAAGTAATATTTAGTAAACCACACATATGCACATATTATTATAAGACTATCCATCAATTAAAAAAAATTGTAATAAGTAAGAGCACAAGTTTCTGTGAAAGGTATCCTGCAATAGTGCAAAACTATAGCTTTTATAGACCTATCAAACTAATAGGGAATTGGACCAACAATCAAGTACAGATATTATCATAGTAATGACAAATGATGCTCCACTTGTTATGTAAGCAGCCCTCTTGAAGTCAAAGGAATTGCTTACATGAGGAACATGAGAAGGACTGCACAAAATTCAGTGTATTGCAAGATGTCTATCACTTTTCCTGAAGACAGTGATGATTGATTATTAAAACGTAAACTTCAAAAAAAGGATGACTTTTTCCTTTTACATTTCATATCCTTTGTACTGAAATATAGTAACTCCTCACTTAACATTGTAGTTATGTTCCTGAAAAATGTGACTTTAAGTGACATGATGTTAAGCAAATCCAATTTCCCCATAAGAATTAATGTAAATAGGGGAGGTTCGGTTCCAGGGAATTTTTTTTTTTTTTGCCAGACAAAAGGCACTATATACATTTTAAACAAGCAATTTAATACAGGTATAAATTTTAAACAATTTTAAAGAAACAATTTAATACTACAATGATCATTGCTGAGTATGAAGCAATGGGAGGTGCCCCCTCCTTACCCCACACAGGCACATCCCACTGGCACTGCAGACAATGAGGCAGGCAAGGAGGCTGAAGGTGCCGTAGGCTAGGAGAAGCATGTTGCGCAGCAGCAGCTGCAGCTTCCTCTACTGTGTAAGTACCAGGGGTGGGGGGCTCAACCCTCAGCCCGCCAACTCCACCCCTTCCCCCAAACCCCCACCCTTAACCCACTTCTTCTCCCCCTGACCTCTTCCCCCTTTACTGTGCATGCTGCATCCTTGCTCCTTCCCCCTCCCTCCTGCCCATGGCAATCAGCTGGTTTGCGGCGTTCGGGGTGGGGGAGGAGCGAGGACGCGGCACGCAGGCTCCCCCTCCGTCCTGAACGCCACAAACCAGCTGATTGCCAGGGGCAGGCGGCAGGAGAGGGATGGGGAGACTGCGCACCGAGTCCTCACTGCTCCCCCTCCCTCCTGAACACCGCAAACCAGCTGATTGCCGCAGGCAGGAGGCAGGGGGAGCAGGGGGAAGGTGCTGATCTGCGGGGTCTGCTGGTGGGCGGGAGGCGCTTGGGGGTGTGTGTGTGTAGGGGAGCTGATAGCTGTGGACAAAGCAGGCAGCCAAACGATGTTATAGTGGAGCATTGCACAACTTTAAACAAGCATGTTCTGTAATGGAGCAGGGACGTAAGATCGAAATAACGTTAAGTGAGGATGTTAAGTGGGGAGTTACTGTATAATACACCAAGTTTGTTCTGCTCTCTTTACAATGTATGTGTCAGTTTTCATCTATATTATATATATTACTTTCTCTATGTACCTAAATTAAATAAATATTTTTCAGCTCTTCAAAGCATAGCTTATTAGCCAACTAAGACATCTTTTTATTTAAAAAAATTAAAATAAAATAAAAAACAACCTCTATACTAGATTACGGAATGCACTAGCCATTGCTGAGAAACCACAGTTTACTGATATTATTCCCATCTACTCTCCTAAATACCTTTTTTGCTTTGTTTCCCGTTGTTGTTATGTCTAATTGAAGCCCCAGTCCTGAAAGATGTTCTGTGTGGTTAGTTCTCTGTGCCTGCATGAAGCCCAATTGACTTGGATTAGGGAACAAACCTTAGTTTCAGCAAAACTAAGCAATGACATGTTAGTAGTTAATTAACACAATAAAAACTTATTTGTTCAAAAAGTGTGAATGGTAAATTATTTAGGTTTAAATACTTGAATGAAAGTTATGTACTGGTTAAAAACAATTTGCATTCAGATATAGTGCAAAATTGTCTTTTCATTACAGGACAAATGGCAAACAGATGCAGAACTATTTACTTTTCCTATTCCTTCATTCTAGGTACATTACAGGACAATTCCAGCTGACTGGAGGACAATAATTCTGATTTAGGGCAACTTGTGAGGTATCAAAATTTGTTTTTGCAAAAATGGATTTGTATCAAAATGTCTATTTTCAGATCAAACCCTGAGCTTTTTCATCCAGGAGAAGAGAAAGAAAGAGTCCATGTGAGAGAGTGTTTGTGCCTATCCTGGTGACTATGGCAGAAGCCTGGGATGTGAGAGACCCAGGTTCAAGTCCCTGCTTTGTCTGATTCCAAGTGATCTTAGATGAAAAAACTCTGTTCTCAATCAGGCAGAACAGGGACATGAACCTGGGTCTCCCACATCCCAGGCCAGTGCCATAATCACCAGGTTACAGGGAAACTCCCTCTCCACTAGGCAAAAATGTTGTAAGTTGATGCATCTCAGTGACGTTTCAGCTTTGATAAAGTTTCTTTTAGTTGAAAATATTCCAACCAGCAAGACATTAGTAAGGCTGGCATGCATGGGATCAATATAAAATGAACTTCTATGAAGGTCTGAAAAATACACCTAAATATAACAAGTCTAGCTGTAGGTTCCCACTCCGTTATCCATGTATATCACTGCCCAGACAACATGATTAGCTTGGACTTCTTCAGTATCAGAATAAAAACTACAAAGATTCAATAAGAGAAATAAGCAAACTTCATTTAACAGTTCACATCAACACATTTAAATATTTTTGTGGGCCAATATAAGAGGGGCAATGGACCTAATATATCTGGACTGTCCAGGAGAGGGTTGAACAGTGCTAAACACACTATTGGGGGAAAATTCAGGACAGGGAGCGTGTTGGGGTCACCCTGCATGTGGTAACCCAGGCTGGTGGAAGTCAGAATGTGACTGGAGCTTTGCTAACAGGCTGCAGCTATACACAACCACTCAGGGTATTATCTGTATGCTGTTTGGCTGTTTCTGAGCAGCCCCGGTGGGCGCTACAACAGCAAAGCCTTGTTAGGCATCCTAGGTTGCAGGGCAGGGGTGATACAGCCTCTCACTTATCTGGATTGCATCCTGAAATATCACGTGATCGTGTAATTGAAGACTGTATCATAATACATACTCACAAGATGGCCAAATTAAGGTTACATGGGCAATCTCAATTCTGGTATTTCCTAACTTTTTGAGTGATGGACTTTGTAACCTCAACATTATTTTAATATAGTTTAGTGTGTGTAACATAAGGTCAAAAGGGGAGTACAATATGTAGGATGTTGATATAACACAACATTTTGAGACCGTGTGCTTCCACTGTTAGGGAGAAAGCTAAACTTCCTTCCCTCCACGGTGTTCCCCCCACGTAGTAAAAGGCACAGGTATATCGGTAGTAACTGGTGCAGTAGAAGGCACAGGTATATCTGTAGTAATTCATTAAGTATTAGCTTAAATCACAAAATTACAAGACGTATTAACAGGATACGTTATTATGTGAAACATAATCTTTCAATCCTGTTATCAAGATGCTTGCAATTTTCATTTCCTGAAACATTGAGCAAATCAAGTGATTCTGTATCTAGACTAATCCCAATTGAACTCTTTTTTTCCCCATTACATTATTAGCTGTGACTCACAGGACCTTGTCAACACCTGTTTTAATTATTATAGTGGTGCAGTAGCACCACTATAATTAAGGTTATGTCATGACTTTGGTCTAAAGAGCGACCTTCTAAGGCCTCTTAAATTGGCATGCTTACTCAGATTCCTTTGAAATGTGGTGTGCTTTAGAAGGGTGAAGAATTGGCTTAGTGACTCAATTTGGGGTCATTTAAGTCAGAGATTGTGGAGATGTAAATGCCCCAAAACAGCCATTTTTCAAAAAGTTTCTACATTTTGTGTCTTTATTTATTTTTGGCTCAGAGCTACAGATAAAACTATTGATGTAATGTAGGTCTCAGTCTGTTGAATTTTACCCAAGGTGGTGCATGATACTCACTAAATCTTTGGGAGACCCAAACTGAGAACAGTATTTAAGAATATGTACATTTTTACAGTGCACATGTGCCAGTAAATAAAAACAGCTAGCGGCTTTCCATTGCCGCCATTTTATAGAGGACCATGGCTAGCTAGTTAACTTTAGAGCAGCCTCCAGATTGATCTAACTTGCCCCAGAGTTGGGGTGATGTTCAAGGTAACTAGGTCAAATAATTCTAATAGTTTGAAGAGGCATGATTTTCATTTACACAATCCATGGTGGCTTATTCCTAACATATTCTGTTCACATATGAATTCTATAGCTATCTTTAATGATTTTAGTTTACCTAGTGCTCAAATAAGATTCGCTGTTCTGGAATTCCCAGGATTACTTCTAACTTTCTTAAGATAGGCACCCTATTGGTAGTTTTTATTAATTATTTATTATTATAGTATTATTATAGTTTTTGAAATCAATTTAGACTTGGTTCATAAACTAGTGAACTTCTTTGTCCCGCATCGGGCTTTCACAATATGAATCAAGTTATCCCCACATTGCCGATGCTTCTCCCCTCAAAAAAACAAAAGCATTAAAAACAACGTACCTTTATTCTATGAAATCGAACAATATCTCCAATTTTGTAGATTTTTGGAAGGGCATCTAGATTTCCATTAAAAAGTGTGCATGTTAATTTCACATTTGATTGGTCCACAATTGTTACAACTGAACAGTAATCTGTAAAATATAAAAAATAATGTATAATAGGACTTAACATTTTAGTATCCATATATTCATATATGGATTAACACATAAATCAAGGGAGTAATGCTAACATAAATAAGAAAATCCGTCCCACCATATGCTACGTAAACTGTCAGAATAGCTGAAAACCAGTATGGTAGCTTGCGCAAAGAGCTCTGAGTCAGAAACTCCCACGTTCTATTCTTTGTTCTGCCATGGGCCCACTATAGGGTTTGGGGAATGTTACATCTTCACAAGTCTTGGTTTCCTCATCTGTAAAATGGGGGAAATAGCTATTAATCTCACAGAGCTGTGAGAATGATAGTGTTTCCACTGTACTTTAAGAGATAAAGAGCTGTGGAAGTTTTAAGGGTAAATTAAAACATTAATTATCACCCCACATGCAGACATAAGAAAAAAGGTTGCAGGCACATATCCGTAGTTTGAAAGCTTATTGCATTTCAAGTTGTTGTTTTATATAGTTTTGGGAGGCAGGCGTTAGAGACCCAGGAAATGGCATTGCAATTCCACAACAAGCCACAAGGTCAAACTCCAAAGACGATATGGCCTTTATTCTGCCTCACTAGAACTGTAACAGTGTATTATGTATGTTACAGACTTCCCTAAACAGAAATGTAAAAGTATGTGCTCAGTTGAACATCTTTAAGTGAAAAATCTGTAAGGAAGTAATGATGAAATTGTTGTCTTGATTTAAGGCGTTAGATGCCTAACTTGCTTGGTTGCTTTTGAAAATACCACCAGGATATCAGTAATTTTTAAATAGGTAATAAAGCAGAGAAATTGCCTCATAGTCTATTTCTATGTTGATATATGACTTAGCCAGGCATTTATGTATGCAAAACTTGGTTTTGAAAATGGCTTTAATAATGTAAAGCAAGACCCTTAAGAAAAGCATATAATTATATGCAATGCATGAACTAAAAATACATAATGCTTTCATTTTTGAAGTACTGACTCCTGAAAAGGGGGAAGTGAACATTGGCTTTGAATGTGAAGGTTGCTGTCCCTAAGTGCACAGGACCAGAATGTACAAAACTAGCATTCTTAGGAGTGAAGAAATTGAATTCTTACATTTTAAAATTGTATTTCTACACACCAGTACATAAAAGTGGGCCTACTTGCCCATTAGTCATTTTTTCCCCCCAGCCCTCCTTTCATTAGTTACTTTGAAAACTTTAGTTGCCATTTATACTGAGTGTGCCATTTACAGTGGGGCTGAAAATGTTTGCTGGAGAAGTGCACTGAAACATTTTATGCTTTCAGACTTGAAGGCACCAAGAGTTTTTGGGTTAATTCGTGCTGCTAAGTATTGTGCAAAGTAAGGCCATGTCTACGCTTGGAGTGCTTTACTGGTATAAATGTAACGGTATACCGTACCGGCAAAGCAGTCTTCGCTGGATACAGCTTATGCCTGTAAAACTATGCTTTTACTGGTGTAACTTATTACACACCCCTTTCCCTGCAATAGCGTGAGACAAGCTATGGCGGTAAAAGCACAGTTTTGCTGATATAACTGTGTCTACACTAGGGTAGGGTTACCATACGTCCGGATTTTCCCGGACATGTCCGGCTTTTGGGGGCTCAAATCCCCGTCCGGGGGGAAATCCCCAAAAGCCGGGCATGTCCGGGAAAATCGGGAGGCTCGGCCGGGGCCTCTTTGTGCGGGGCCGGGGTCGCGGGGCCGGGGGCATGGTGCCGGGCCGGCTGCGCGGTGCCGGGCCGGGGGCCAGGGTCCGGGGGCATGGTGCCC